TAATTACCAACTTTATTTTTAATCGAAAAAAATAGTTCTAGGTATATATGATATCATTAGGGATTCTTTTCTTATTGGACAGATTAAAATCATTATGATGAAATAATTTTTAAAAATTATGTTCTCATAATTTTTAATTCCATAGATTTCTGAGATTGTTATTTGTTTATTAAAGTACTGTCAAAATTTTTTAAAACGAAGTTATAACATTAAATAAATCTTAATTTAAATCCGGAGAGTATAGTATTTATCCACACATATGTAGGAGTTGCATCAATTGATTGGTATTTCCTTTAGTGAAACTATATATATTAATAATGGCGAGAGAAGATAGGAACAGCTGGAAATTATTAGAGAGGGTATCTTTACGATCTTCGAATCGTTTTCATCCTACACATTACTGTAAACTTGTAGAATAATTTCGTAGCGTTTTGATGATTCGCGAATTCTCTGCACTTTAGCAGAGAACGGTTATAATATAAATTTCGTTTTCCGTAGAATTCGCACAATAAATATTTTCGTGACACATTGGTTACGTATTAGCATCGATTTTTGTGAGTTTATAAAAATTCGTAGATAATCATGGACGAAGAAAAAAATGTACAATACAATATTAATATGCAAACATTATTGTCGAATATGCCGTCGAATATACATGTTATGATAAAACATCGAATTTTATCTTTTAAAAAATAGACTTATAACGTTTTCTCGATATATGTGTAAACAGGATCTCGCTTGTTTAGGTTATGTCGAGCTCGAGATATTGAATGGAATAGTAATAGGATTTATTATCGATTGGATAAGATATTTTGATTCAAATAACAATCATTATTATAAAACATATAAATATTGGGGAATTCGAAATAAGTGGTAAAGTTATGAAATTAGGAATCGAATCAAGTATTATATCGCGGCAACGGAAGAAAGGTCATGCGTAGCGTAGAAAAAGAACAAAGCAACGCGTCCCGGCCATCTCTCGTTCTTTTTTCTTTGGTTTCGATCGTTTTGTTCTGAAGGCGAGTTGGCTGGACCGTGTTCGTTGTCTACCTGCTCATAGCTGGTTGTGCAAGCAGTGGTTCGATTGGTTCGTGCTGATGCACCATCCGTTTGGATTGGTCAAACCGGATCGGTTAGCCTCCGGGGAAGGAGGATCGCGAGCCGATGCCACGAGAGACCTATCTTGCGCTCTTGCTACGGTCAACTAGTCCCTGATCTTGAGGACCGGTAATTCTCTAATGCAATAAAACAAACAAAACGAAGATGCTCATTGCAGATGCTTGTCTTTTACGCCACGCATTACTTTGCGCATTTTTAAATGTGTTGCAGTTATAGTCACTTGCTGAAGCAGAAAAAAATTTACCAAACTAAAAAAATTAATATATATATATATATTAGTTAATATTTCTGAGAATAATTATCAATTCGTATGCAAGAAACTTGTACAAAACCGGAAAATAATATTATTTTTATAACGATTTCAATTTTTCTGTGTCATAGTAGTTATATAATATATGGTTATATGCATGGGTTTATCATTAAAGCTAATGTGATATCCTACTACTACTAAATTTATGTTAATTTTTGTTTTTTCGAAGATTATGATTTTCGATTAGGAAATTCTTTCAACAGAATATTTTTTGACGTGAATTATTTGTTGCATATTTGAAACATATTTCTTCTTAATATTTGTGAAATTACATGTTAGAAAAAATTCTAAATGGAATAAAATTGAATATTATTCAAAATATTCATGATGAAAAATAAAGAGAAGATGTAAGATGAAACGAAAGTTTGATGAAATAAAAAAAAATATTTACTGCTAAGAATCCTATGGATAAAACGAGGATTAGATGCAACTCTTTGAGAAATTATTCTTAAGAAATATAATTTAATATAAAATATAATTCGTTTAAATTGGATAGTTTGGAAACAACTACATTTACAGATGAAATTTTGGAATTTTGATATTAAGAAATCATTGTGTAGAACAAACTTCACTTCTAAATTTTATCGACAGTTTGAAGAGTGTGACAACCTTGAATTTCCACTACAGTATTTGTCCTTGATTAATTCAAATGCATAATAGTATATAACAAAGGACTATTTTGATTCGCTTTCTAGAAACAAATCGAGCTACATACAGAAAGAAACGCAATTTTTCGTATAACTGTTACGCGGCTTTTGTTAGCAAGAATGTCTTGTTACGACTTTTTCTTTTGCCTCCGTGGCCGACATACTTTCCCAAGGAATTCATCATCTTCTATACTTTTTATCTTAATCATGACAACTGGTTTCGATTGAATAAATCTTTAATTAAATCTTATTATTTTAATTTTTTAATCAAGGATGAAAGGAAAAGAATTATTATGAAATTAACACACGTAAAATTAAAAAGGAATCATCGCATTACATAAGTAATTGTTCCATTTATCTCTTAAGATTATTTAATAAAAGTATTTGTAAAAAAAAATATATTTTATGTTTAGTAAAATTTTGATAACATTTGTGATAATCTGGCAACGCGTTAGTCGGGATAGATTTATACAAATAAATTAAAAAAAAAAAAGAAATTATAACAATCCATGAATGCTTGGAAAAATTATCTTGAAATGTATAGTGTGGTTCTATTAATCTCGAGAGGATAAAAAACAGTATGCATCATGTGTAAACGAACGTTAAACGGTCTTGAAAGATGAGAAATAGAAGCAACGTAAGAGCTAGAATTACAAACGCCCTTCGTTTCTTCCTTTTTGCCAGAGAAACGGTTGTTTCAACTATACCCTTCGAGATTGTCCAATGTTTTGTTCGAACGTATTCTAATATAGGATAGAGATATATAAATAAAAAAGTAATAAATAAAAATCAACCATAAAATCATGGAAATTTCTGGCGTGAAATTATTAAGTTTACTTTACTGGCTAAATCTCAAAAAATTTAATTCAATTAAATAAAATTCAATTTAAATAAAAATCATCTTTTCAATAACATATTGTGCATTTTATTTTGGATATTATATGATGTTTCCTTTTATGAACATTTAAATTGTTAATTAAATTCACGAATAATAAATTGTGATTATTAATTATATGTATTCGTTGAAAAAAATAGAGAATGCATAAAAAAGTATCACTATATAAACGAGAAACGTTGCATTATGACACATCGTTATTTATTAAAATGAAGATTCACAAGATTGAAATACAATCCTGATACGACACGAGAGAACAAATGCACGTAAGTATGGATCTATCATTAAACGTCTAGAAAATCGGAGAATCGGCGGTTGATGCGTTAAATGAAAGACAAGGGTCAACGAATTTTCCATAGAAGGGGACGAAGATAGGAACGAGAAGGGTGAAACGAACGGAAATCGTTGTTCCCACGTTTTACCGTGGGCATTGCATTCTCACACTCGCGAAAGAAAACGGCAGAGCTAGACACGTCTTTTTATCCGCTCTACGAATAGAATGAAAGAGAAGCAAAAACTTTAGGATTCGTTCTGATTAATTATCGTTTCCAAACACCATATGCAACTTTAAAACTTTAAAACGTAACTAGATCTCATTTTAGATCTTGTTTTATTTTTTTATTCTTTAAGAGAAATTTCTTATACTTTCTGTGAAAAGAAGTATATTTCTGAAAATTCTCTTCTCTCAACTGTTATAAGTTTACATGCTAAACTATATATCGATTCTTCAAAGGTAGCCAATGAATATATTAACATTCTGGATATAATGGATGAATTATTCAACAATTTTTGAATTTGATCGTTTACCCAAAGTGTATATTGAGCAAATTGTCGAATTCGGCTTTCTGCTTCTTATTCAAGGTTCCGATCTTTGAACTAATAAATTGGTTTTTTTTTTTTTTTGCTTCTCTGGTTACACGTTAAAACAAGTTTAGTCATATCGAACGAAAAAACATTCGATACGCTATATCGAATATTTTTAATTATATTTCTTCAAACTATCATGAAACTATCCTTTAATTTTAAATTTAAATTCTAATTAACCGAAAATAAAAGACTAACCAGATAATCTTACAGATTTTTTTCTCTTTTTCTTAGAAAATGTCCAAAGTGTCAGCATTAATATTGTAAATTGTGTAACAACAACAAAATAATTTTCTCAGTTTTAAATATTTCGCTCCTTCTATTAAACATCTTATTTTTTAGAATAAGTTTAGGAAAAGTTGATATAGTAAATTTAATTTTTAAATTAGTATAGTTAAAATTGAAATTGGAAACAGTCCTATTAAACTGTAGAATTATCATTTATTAATTAATTAATAAATTAATTATCATAATATATTTATTATAAATTATTAAAGACTTTTTAAAGCTTGTAATTATCGCCCGTCATTTTTGAAATTGTGCGCCATATTAGACTTCTGCGCGCGCATTATCTAATTTGCGACGTCACCGTTTCAAATCGGAAATAGAAATGAACGTTGAAGTGACAAGTGCGAAGTAAAAAAAGAATGTAACTAGAAGAAAAAATATTCTTTTTCGCAGATGGATAACCGAACAACGTGTACAACAACAAGCTTCTATTGAATCGGGCGAACGAAAAAAGAATTGCAACAATGGGACACTTGACCGGGAGGGCAAAACACGAGAAGAAGAAGCGGTCGTTTTAAGAGGGTGGCTGCCATGGAGAGATGGAAATGGATTGTTCCACTGCTCGCGGTCTTTTGGACCTTAACCGATGCGTACCTGGCGGTGGTGTCCTCGAACACACCCGCCGGTAGCGTGGTTTTCGAGGCAGGTGTACCGCAATTGGGTGGCCGTCGAAAGTACGAGGTCTCGAGCGAACGAACCGCCTGGTTTGCAAGAAAACTACTCAAGGTGCATCCTCACACCGGTCGTGTCACATTGGCGCGGCCATTGAGCTGTGACGGCCTTCAATATCCACGAATCTTCACCTTTTACGTGGATTCGACCAGTTCCAGACTAGGCAGACCGACGATCGACTATTATAGCTTGCCACTTAGGATCCTGATCACAGGTTGTGGTGGGGAGAACCGAGATCTAGCTGCCACCAGAGGATGGACGGCAGAGACATTAGCCTCGTACGCTATGCCCAGCACCGAGAGGTGAATGTTCTTTTTTCATTCGTGACGAGAAACAAAGGGAAATTATCCGTAGCCGATGTTCATTTAGATAAGTTTGGATAATTAGTCGAGTTCTTATTAACTGTCATGCGAGCTTTCTCTTCATTTCTGTAATTAATTTTTTTACGCGAGATACGATTACGTTGACATATGATAAGGTTAAGATTCGTTGAGAACTAAATATAAACATGTACAATAGACATTTTATAATTGTCGACATTTTTTTTAAGATTGATTATTAATTTAGATTGCAAATAGTTTTGTATGATTTCCTTTACTTTCTTATTTTTAGTTATAGTTTTGAATACAATTTCGAAGATAGTGAAGATAACTAAGTCATTCCTTCTTTGTTCGAATCTTTTGTATTTATATTGAAAAGTACGAATAAGAGATATGTTTGAATTGATATATAACCTCTTTCTTCTATCACAAGGATTTTTATTGAACAATCGTTAGAACAAATGGTAGAATTTGAAGAGGAGAGTAAAATAATATTTACTGCAATAAAATTCACATATGTATATGTATTAAAATTTTTTTCCTTGTCTGCAGATTCACCGAGGTTTGTCTTAGAACATCGCAATTAGTCGCGGCGTTACGAGATTTCCTTCCTCAGACTGCTTTGAAAGAGTGCGAGACAAGATGGGGCGGTGTAGCGGATCCTAGGTTTCTGATCGAAGGTGCAGCAGGCGATTTAGTTTCAGCAACGGAACAGTGTCTAGTGGATCCTCTTTGGAAAGTGTCTGTATCGATGAATCTAAGATGCGGAATGGAATCACGGTTAACCGATGCCGAGCATCGTCTCAAGATCGTTTTTCATCACCGTCAATTGGACGACACGGATCTAGGTCGACGAGTCCGAAGGGAATTGAAAAATCAGTCTCCCTATTTTGAACAATCCCTGTACGTCGCAGTCGTTGAAGAGGAGAAAGAGCCCGGCGTGTACGTAACATCTGTTCGGGCCAGAGATCCAGAAGGTGGAACAGTTCGTTATTCAATGAGTTCTCTGCTCGATGCACGATCACAAGCGCTGCTGGTATTGGATCCTGTCACAGGAAGAGTCACCACGCGAGCCAGATTGGACAGAGAAAGCGTGGACGTTCATTATTTTCGGGTACTCGCCGTCGACGACTCGTTTCCTCCGAGGACAGGTACCACTACGCTGCAAGTTAACGTTCTTGATACGAATGATCACGCCCCCAGTTTCGAGTGGCCAGAGGAGGAAGCTTCCATCAGAGAGGGCGTACCGGTATGTTATTATTAAGAAATGTCGGAATTAATATCGATAAATTGTTTGTTGAGCATGAATCTAAACAACCATGCTTAATTCTATGAAATTGAAGATAGAAGAGGAAACTGAATTTTGGCCAAATATAATATAAACTTTTATAAAAAGTGCTATTGTTAACTAATTTTGTCTGAAGTATTCTTTAATGTATAGACTATCAACTTGCGATAAAAAGATGGCTGCATCGTTTTTCAATTTTTTTCAACTTATCTACTTTATGTGCTTTATTGTTTAAATTCAATCTTCAGCAATTGGTAACTTGTATTAAACCATATAGTTTGAGATTAATTTTTAACTTTTGGAAATGAGAAATCCATCGCGTTATCCAAATGAATGAAAACATGTATACGTTATTCCTTGAAAAAAAGGATTGCGAGAAATGCGGGGCGAGCAAATCGTTATCATTACATTATTATTATTATATTTAAATTCTTTTCCAAAACGCAGGTAGGCTCGACGGTGGTGACGGTGAAAGCTACGGACCAGGACGCTGGCAGAAACGCCGAGGTCGAGTATTCCATCTTGTCCACGACTAGTAGCAGTGGAACCGCGACTACCGAGGATGCGTTGATCTTCAGGATAGATCCGAGAACCGGTGTGGTCACGACGCGTACGCCTCTCGACAGGGAAAAAACCGAAGTGTACACGGTTATTCTGAGCGTGTCCGATCAGGCGACGCCACCATCCGCGCGAAAAACCGCAAATGCAACACTGGTGGTCCGTGTGCTGGACGATAATGATAATTACCCTCAATTCACCGAGCGTACCTATTCAGCTTGGATACCAGAGGATTTGGATTACACGGCGAATCCAGTGATAGCGCGTATACGCGCCACGGACGCTGATTCCGGGAACAACGCGGCTGTTCGATACGCCATAATTGGTGGAAATACTCAGAATACGTTTTCGATAGATTCCATGATCGGTGACGTTGCCCTCGTCAAACCTCTCGACTACGAGTCCACCAGGAGTTACAAGATAGTAATACGCGCACAAGACGGTGGTTCACCAGCCAGATCGAACACCACGCAGCTGTTGGTACACGTGGGAGACGTTAACGATAATGCCCCACGATTTTACACCAGCCATTTTCAAGAATCTGTTTCGGAGAATGTGCCCGTAGGATACTCGATCCTGAGAATACAAGCGTACGATGCCGACGAAGGCGCGAACGCCCAAATAAAGTACACGATTGGAGCTCGAGACTTCACGGGTGCCTCTACGGAGAACTTTCCCATAACTGTGAATACGGAGACTGGATGGCTTTATACGACGAAACAGCTGGATCGTGAACAATGTTCTAGGTAAGAACAAAATTTTAGAGAAGAAAGTAGCGTAAAATTTAAATTATTAATTTCGAAACATCTTTAAATTATCGAGATTATATATATATATATTCTGAATTTTTCTTCCTTTATCCTATATTCGGTAATTATAAAAATCGAATTATTTTATTTTAGGTACCAGTTCACCGTGATCGCTGCAGACTCGGGCGAAATATCGAAATCTGCAAGCGCCACCGTAATACTCACCGTGACGGACGTGAACGACAACGATCCCTATTTCGATCCAAAGAATTACGAATCGGTTGTTTCCGAAGATGACCCGCCAGGCACTCCGGTTACTTCTGTCACAGCAACCGACCCGGACGAGGACGCCAGGATACACTACGAAATTACCGCGGGCAACACTAGAGGTCGTTTCGCGATCGCGTCTCAAAATGGGCGGGGTTTGATAACCATAGCCCAACCGCTCGATTACAAACAAGAGAAAAGGTTCGTTTTAACGGTGACCGCCTCGGACAGCGGCGGCAGAACCGACACGGCTCTCGTCTACGTGAATATTTCGGATGCGAACAACTTTTCACCCGTGTTCGAGAACGCGCCCTATTCCGTTTCCGTGTTCGAGGACGCGCCCATCGGCACCACGGTTCTCGTTGTCAGCGCGACCGACTCGGACGTTGGAAAAAACGCGCAAGTCACCTACAGTTTGGACACGGACAGCGGGGATCAGGCGGCGTCCGAATTTATCATAAATCCCCAAACAGGGGCCATCACGACCACCCGACCACTCGATCGTGAACTCGTGCCCGCCTATTTGCTAACCGTCACCGCCAGGGATGGGGGGGTACCACCTTTGTCGGACACTACCGACGTGGAGATATCCGTTACGGACGTGAACGATAACGCTCCTGTCTTCGAAGCCCCCCAATATCAAGGATCCATTCCGGAGGACGTTTTGGTCGGGACGAGCGTTCTCAGAGTTTCCGCGACCGATGCGGATACGGATCTTAACGGGAGGGTAATATGGGAACGATGCAAATCATGCGAATCTTGTTGTTTTATTATAATTCCATATTGTATATTTTTAGGTGAGATACGGTTTGGAGGACGATGGCGACGGCGCATTCGCCGTCGATTCAACGACAGGGATAATCAGGACAGCGAAACCGTTGGACAGAGAATCCGTGGGGAAATATGTATTGAAAGCGGTCGCGATGGATCGTGGATCCCCCTCTCTTTCCACCGTTGCGCCAGTTACCATTAAGATAGAGGACGTGAACGATTCGCCGCCGCCTTCGAAAACGACAAGATCATCCTTTACATAGCTGAAAACTCGCCCGTGGGATCGACCGTCGGTGAAATTTATGCCCACGACCCGGACGAAGGGCCGAACGCTGTCGTCCAGTATTCCGTGATAGGGGGGGAGGATTCCAACAGTTTCGCCCTGAATGTCAGGCCGGGCGCGGATCGTGCCGAATTGATCACGCTCGAGGAGCTGGACTACGAGTCGCCGAAGAAAAAGTTCGAATTGGTCGTGCGCGCCGCCTCCCCCCCCTTGAGGTCGGACGCTCTGGTCCAGATACTGGTAACGGACGTGAACGACAATGCGCCGGTGTTGAAAGACTTTCAAATAATATTCAACAACTTCAAGGACTTCTTCCCAACCGCCCCTATAGGCAAGATACCCGCCACCGACGCGGACGTCGCCGACAAGTTGACGTACACTGTCCTGGCTGGGAACAACGCGAATCTGATCGACTTGAACAGGACGAGCGGCGAGATACGTCTCTCCCCTCAATTGAACACCAACGTGCCACGAGTCGCGACGATGGAAGTCTCGGTCACGGACGGTATCAACGAGGTCAAGGCCACGATGACCCTGTCGGTGCGCTTGATCACCGACAAGATGCTCCTCAACTCCATCACCGTCCGATTAGACGATATGACCGCCGAAGCCTTCCTCAGCCCTTTGCTCGGATATTTTCTCGACGGTTTGGCGGCCATCGTCCCATGCCCCAGGGAGAACATCTTTCTGTTCAGCGTGCAGGAGGACGCTAACGTGAACGGGAAGATATTGAACGTGAGCTTTTCCGCGCGTAAGGTCGAGCCAGGCGTGACCGACGAGTTCTACAGCCCGCAATTCCTTCAGGAGCGCGTCTACCTGAACCGAGGCATACTGGCGAGGCTGGCCACGGTCACTGTGTTGCCGTTCGACGACAATCTTTGCGTGAGGGAGCCCTGTCTGAATTTCGAAGAATGTTTAACGGTCTTAAAATTTGGCAACGCCTCTGGATTCGCGAGCAGCGACACTGTACTCTTCAGACCGATATACCCTGTGACCACGTTCGCGTGCAGATGCGCAACAGGCTTCACTGGCAGCAAAGAGTCGTACCTGTGCGACACGGAGGTAAATTTGTGCTACTCGAATCCGTGCGTGAACGGGGGTACTTGTTACAGAAGGGAAGGCGGATACGCGTGCTCGTGCAGCCCGGAATTTGCGGGGGAGAATTGCGAGATCTCGCTGGACAGGGACACCTGCGCCCAAGGAGTTTGTAAAGGAGGCTCCCAGTGCACCATGAAAACCACGGGCGGTTTCACTTGCGAAGGGTGTCCGGTCACGACTCTAGAGAACGTGACGCCTCTCTGCGAGCTGAAAGCTCGCAGCTTCGGCCCGGCAACGTTCCTCACGTTTCCCTCTCTCAGGCAGAGGCACAGGCTGCACGTGAGGCTGAGATTCGCCACCGAGGCGGCGAATGGCCTTCTCCTTTACAACGGCCGGTACAACGAGAAACACGATTTCGTAGCTCTGGAAATAATCGAATCCGAGGTAGAGTTCAGCTTTTCGCTTGGCGACGAGATCACGAGGACCAGCGCCAGCATACCGGGCGGTGTTTCCGACGGCCAGTGGCACGAGGTCGAAGTTTCTTACATAAACAAAACGGTGACCATCTCGCTGGACAATTGCGACGTCGCCCTAGCGTTGGAGCACGGCGACAGACTGGGCAGAAGGTGGTCCTGCGCCGGGAGGAGCGAGCAAGTGTTGGAGGAACGTTGCGGCATCGTGACCGAGACTTGCCACCGCTTCTTAGACCTGACAGGTCCGCTCCAGTTGGGCGGCCTGCCCGCCATACCGTCCAGCTTTCGCGTCAGGAACAAAGACTTCGTCGGTTGCGTTAGCGACCTCTACATCGACCACGTCTTCGTCGACCTGAACTCGTTCGTGGCTGACAACGGGACCAACCCTGGCTGCCCAGAGAAGGCCACGTTTTGCTCGTCCTCGCCGTGCAAGAACAACGGCAGGTGCCGAGAAATATGGGCAGGATTCGTTTGCGAGTGCGAGGAGAATTTTGCTGGACCTACCTGCGCCGACGAGGTTGGCAAGCCGTGGAACTTCCACGGGGACGGGATGATCGGCTTCAACCCCTTGCTGAGACCCATCCAACTGCCCTGGTTAACGGCCCTCAGCCTGAGAACTCGGTCGAAGCGCGCGTTCGTGATGAGCGTGCAAATCGGGCAGAACAGCTCTGCGCTGATCGAAATCCGTGAGGGGAAACTGGTCGCCCTGTTGGACGGGGCGGATATAATGCAAACGTTGAACGAGGTCGCGGACGGCGAGTGGCACAGAGTGGAGATCGTGTGGCAGAGCGGTCACGTTTCATTGGATATCGATTACCGCGGCCGACCCACGTTGTCCGCGTTGCCGGCCAAATTGCAGGGTTTGTACATAGGCAGAATCCTGGTGGGCGGGCCGGAACAGTCGATGAACATCGAGCTGCCGTATTTCGACGGGTGTCTCCAGGACATACGCGTCGGCAGTAATCAGAGCGTGTTGCTGCGACCGACCGTGCAGGAGAACGTCGCGACAGGCTGCAGTTCGGAGGCTGAGTGCAACGTAGACTGTCCAGAGGCATCGATCTGCGTGCCCAAGTGGAAGGCGGGCGAGTGCGTTTGCGCGACAGGCCGGGTAGGACGTAATTGTGAGCGCGTTTGCGATTTGAATCCTTGCAACAACACTGGCGCCTGTATCGAAGACGCGACGTCTCGCAGAGGGTATCGATGCGAGTGCAATTCGCCCGAGTATTCCGGGACTTATTGCGAAATTAAGGCCGACCAACCCTGTCCGGCGACCTGGTGGGGCTCGCCGGTTTGCGGGCCTTGTCACTGCGACGAGTCGAAAGGCTACGATCCTGCTTGCAACAAAACTACGGGCGAGTGTTATTGCAAGGAGAACCACTATCAACCTTCTGGTAAGAAAGAGTGCATCCCTTGCGAGTGTTACGCGACTGGAAGCTTTGGTCCTCGCTGCGACACCGAGACCGGCCAGTGTCGGTGTCGAGTAGGGGTCATTGGACGATCTTGCACAGCGTGTCCTAATCCATACGCCGAGGTCACGCTTCGTGGCTGCGAGGTGGTGTACGACGGTTGCCCCAGATCCTACTCCGAAGGATTATGGTGGCCGAGGACGAAATTCGGGATGATCGCCGTGGAGGATTGTCCCGATACGGCCGAGGGAAAGACCTCCAGGTCTTGCGACGATAAACTTGGCGGTTGGCAGGAGCCTGATCTCTTCAACTGTACCTCGGAACCGTTTATCGAGCAAAGGCATCAACTGGCCGCGTTAGAAACGAAGGAATTGACCTTGAATACTTACGTCGCTGTGAAGATAGCGAAGGATGTGCACAGGGCAGTGAACGTGACGAAAGAATTGTATGGAGCCGATTTGCTGGTCGCTGAATCTTTGCTGGTGGCGTTGTTACGGTACGAAGAGAGTTTGGTCGGATTAAATTTGACTCACAGTCAAGATAAGGATTACGTCTCTTATCTGGTTGGAATTGCTAGCAACATTTTAAAAAGCAAATATTTGGAAAAGTGGTCAAGGATCGAGACTCTCAACGGTGATACACCTGACAAAGTTTTGGATGCAATGGCAAATTATTTGAAAACCTTGACCGCGTCTCAACACGACACTTTCACAAATCCTTTTGAAATAGTCGATATTAATGTAGGTAAGCGAAAAATAAATATCTTTTTTAAACGGTAAGTAGTATTTTGATTCACTTGTAATTATGATCGAGGTTTAATCGAATTATTTTTTTTTTTTTTTAGTACTAGGTCTGGATGTAGTAACTTCGGAGAGTTTGTTCGGTTATGAGACGGCAGAATATACGGAGGATCCATCTGCATCTACAGCAAGGCCAACCGAAGCGGATCAGAAAGTTGTGTTACCCGACACTTCTGCGTTTCTGTCCTCACCTGCTCATTTCGGCCCGTCAATTACTTTCCCAAAATATAATAATTATATGGCCGATCCGAATAGATTCGATCCATATTCTAAAATAAGAGTGCCTCTTGATATATTAGGCATTAAAACTTTAATGCAAGGTGAATTAAATGTTAAGAAAAGTTTGGTGAATCGAAAGGCTGTGTTGAGTTATGTGCAATATAAGCAATTAGGTGCCCTATTGCCTCAGAGGTGATTAATTGTATTTTTTATTTTTTGCTTAATCGTATTAAATACGTTATAAACATACTGATTAAAATTGCATTTTTTTTTTTTATAGATTTGACGATTCTGTGACAGTTAGATGGGGCGTAGAAGTAGCGGTAGGCTCGCCAGTCGTAACAGTATCCGTTTTAGTTCCTTCCAAAGACGGTTACATGTCTTTGACTGGAATTCCCTTACAATCTCCTGTTCAAATTAGTCTTTGGCTCAACGAAAAAGACGATATTAAGACTAGAACTAATCCGCAATGCGTGCATTGGAGTACAGCTAGGGGGTACGCTTTAAAATAATGCATTTTATCGACTTTTCATTTTATCATTTCATTTTGAACTTTTTTTATATATATTTCAGAATGGGTGAATGGAGTCGTATGGGTTGTACTACGGAGAGTGAAGACGACTCTTTGTCTTTTGGAACGATCGTAAATTGTTCCTGTTTCCAATTATCCACCTTTGCAATATTGACGGATGTACTCGATCCAGAATACGTCCCAGAACCATCTTTATTAGAAGATGTAACGAGTTACAGTGCATTTATGCTTGCTTTACCCTTGCTGTTATCCGCTTTACTTATTTTGGCTTTGATACGAGGTGGTGGCACAAATTCAAACAGTATTCATAAAAATTTGGTAATGTGTGTTTTCTTTGCTGAAGTGCTCTATTTGATTGCACTCAAAGCTAGAAGTCCTCTAGTCTCGAATGAATTTCCATGTAAATTGACGGCAATTGGTCTACATTATGCTTGGTTAAGCACATTCTCATGGACTTTAGTAGACTCCATTCATCTCTATCGAATGCTGACTGAAATGCGAGATGTAAATCATGGACAAATGAGATTTTATTATGCGATGGGATATGGTGCTCCAGCTATCATAGTTGGATTGACTATCGGCGTTAGAGCCGATCAATACGGGAATTTTTATTGTACGTATATTCCAAATTTTTCTACTTATATATTTTAACCAAAAAAAAAAAAAATAGTTATTAACGACAAAAATTTATTTTTATTTCAGTTGTTGGTTGTCGATTTATGAAACTGTGATTTGGTCTTTAATAGGGCCGATTTGCTTAGCAATCTTTGTGAATTTTTGTATTCTCGTTATGTCGATACGAGCAGCTTTTACATTGAAAGAACACATTATGGGTTTCGGGAATTTAAGAACATTACTCTGGTTATCCGTAGCTTCGTTACCTTTACTTGGATCTACATGGACATTAACGGTCCTCAATGCATCTGAAAATTCGCCAACATTATCGTACCTGCTTAGTATAGCAGTCGTTGTACATGCATCATTTAGTTTGATCGGTTATTGCTTTATCAATGGCAGAGTACGAAGAAATCTGTACTTAAGTCTATTAAGATGTATTGGAAAAAAGACACCTTTGTTGGAGGGAAGTATGGGAAATGGAAGCAGTAGTCAAAATGTAAACGGTCATTCGGTATGTCAAATAATCTTATATCTCTAGTGTAGTATGTGAATGGAGAGTGGAAATATTAATTTCTTTTTTTATGAATAATATTACAGCGATCTGCATTGGCATATTCGTCAACATATAGTGGAGCAGAATCGGTGTGTAGAAGAGTTCATGTAGGAGTTTCGACGAGTAGTACAACTTCACGAAGTACAAATAAAACTGGGTCCAGCCCTTATCGTAGTGATACACATTTAAGGCATACATCAACATCCACGAGTAATTACAATAGCGATAGAGATCCCTATTTATCCTCTAGGAGTCATCGGTCGACATTACATTCCAGACAAGGTATTTCACTCGTATTAAATTCAACATTAAATGATTTATTTCCTAATAAACAATACAATTTATCAATGTACAGAAACGACAGAACCAAGGAATCAACGTAGAGATTCCGAATCGGATTCAGACGGATCCCAAGCCGAAGCTGGAGGACGAAGTTTAGATCTTGCGAGTTCGCACAGCTCTGACGAGGAAGACGTCACGTCGAGATCGCATAGAAATATGGGTGTCTCGACGCAGCAGCCCGTCACGCACAGTTATTTGCCTAATATACATAGTAATCCTACCGAACATTTAAACATACTTTGCTCAAATACGGAACTATTTCCAAATATCAAACCCATTTACGCACCTAGATGGAGTTCACAGTTACCAGAAGCATATTTATCATCAAACGGTAAATTTAAATCTTAGAATTTCATTATATTTAAAATTGTATGAAATCAAATTTGGATAATTTTTTTTATTCTAGCAATGGACGTACGCGGAAGTCAATGGTCTGGAGGTACCATATCCGATAATGAAATGGCCTCGAATAAAACTTCCAGTCCGAATCCGTTGCCTTATCCTGACATGAATTCACCTCAAAAAAGTCAACCGGATGAAAATTATTCGGAAGGCGAAGAAAAACTTCATCATTTGGGAGAAAAATATTTGTTTCCATATACTGCCGAAGAAGATCACACTGTCTCGCCTACTCCGTACATGCTACCTATGTCTTCCCGCATTCTCGCGTCTAGCATGAGTCATCATTCACAAAATTCTAATCATGAAAATATGAGTGGTTCAGAAAGGTATGGAAGCTTAAAGAGAGGACAAAGTTTACATGGCTCTCAACACGATAATCTGAGCGGGTCGGAAAGATACGGTAGCTTAAAGCGTGGTAAAATAACACCAACTGTGCTAGAAGATTCACCGGAATATATTCTACCAATGAGTGGTAGAATATTGTCTAGTTCATTGACTCACGATTTACAACATAGCAATGAATTGGCTGCACTTCGACAGCAGCAACAGCAATATGAACAAACTATCACAGAGACCGAGTAAGTATGATGTATATTGTATATTTAAAAAAAAATTTGCTATCACAATAAATTGAATCTCGATGTATATAATTTAATTAACTGCATCTGCTTTATAATTTACGCTTACTCTGGATAATTAGTGAAGAGGTAAGCGTTTATAGAAATGCTAAATACATCAAATACAGTGAAAATTTGTTATTTTGCAAATGAATAAAAGTCACATTAAATTAATGTAATGTAATGTAATGTAATGTAATGTAATTTATGTCTGATTTATCTTATTTTAGGAAGGATACTAATGCGGAAACGTCAGTATGATGGTCTCCGTGCTACAAACACCGTACAAAGTAATATAACGTATTATTAGCTTAAAATTTAAATGATTAAAATATATATATATATAGATATATATATTTCTTAGAGCGAAAATAACTCTAAGATATATTTTAAGAGCGGCCATGACTGTACTTACAAATTTAGCCATATTGATTAGTATGTATGTGTGATGAGTGCCTGTACGTATCTATATGCATACGCTTGTTGATAGTTCATTTTGTGTGATTCCAGTTTCTGAAGTGATTTTTTTTTTCGATTTCTTCATTATGATTATCGTCGATATTGATCGATGATATCGGATAGTCGGAAGACAAATGATCTCTAGTTCATTTTCATTATTCATGTAATTAATATTATTTTTCTAGTACCTTAATTTCTAAACTCAGTATTGTGCAATGTATACATTCCAATTCCATTTTATATATATTTAGGTTCTATTTTCTTTCTTTTTCATTACTTTTTTTTTTTTTTTTTAAAGTAAATTTACATATTATATTTTATACATGCCATGGAAGAAGCGTACAAGTTTGCGGCGCAATTTTCATAGTTTTGTATATATTTATATGAAAAAAATGTGACAAAATACATAATTTATATATATCCTTCATCTAGCGATTGAGAATTCTCTATATCCTGTTTATTATTCACTTTTCTTTGTTAGTTGCTTCAATATTATATGGTGTTCGCACATTTGCATCAATATCATTGATAAAAATTACCTTTATTCTCATTGAAAATATAAATAAATTACAAAATATAGTTAGATTAATATTCGGAAGATCGTCGTCTTTAACATAAAGTCAATACTGTATCATGTGAACGCCGAGCACTACCAGACAACTTCTACACAATTAAATTCGAATACAATTTGTCACGGATAATCGCCGGGTGAGTCTTGGTCGTTCTCAGCGTTTCGATACCATGCTTTTATTAAGGTACGTTATACACAGGTTGGTGTAATCCATGTCGAGTTACGCATTAAAAGATTTCATTTCGATTATTACAGGATTTTCTTATGCATAATAATTAGATGTATGTATATAATGATGTGCAAATGTCAGAGACTTTGCTGTGCAAATCCAATTAGTTTCAATTGTTAGTTACGTGTTTGCCAATAATCGTGCGAGTTATCAAAGTTTCGCTGATACATAGGTATGTATGTATACGATTCTACAATCGGATCTGCTCGACTGTGGCACACGCACATCACAATTAACCACTAGGACTAGGAAATTCATTATTATTGCTACACAGTGCTTTCGGTATCGGTTGCCATAGATAATGTTTGGAGTTTTGGTACTGAATAATTTTCCGAATGACCATGAGACTGTGAGCGATTTGACACTCTTTCCAAGGTTGATGGGGCCGAAGGAGTATCTTGATGCGCCTTCGGCGGTATCGGTGGTGGACTAACCTAAAAATAATAACGATAAATCGATAAAAATAAAAATACAATAGAAACTTTAGGAATAATTACCTCTTGACTTGGCAAAGAATGCGATTCTTGGAACATACTGCTTGCAAAATTTGCCGTAGAAACATTCAACGCATTTATTACAGATGGTGAAATATTCAAGATATCGTTGCACCTTGTCCGTGGTTCAAAGTCCTCGTAACCTAGGTTGTTCAAGTTACTTAAATGCGATTGAAAATCTAATAAACTAGCAGTCGATATGCCGCTATCGCGAAGATCGTTCGGTTCATTTTGCGCTTCCGAGTCATCATCCGTACTCCATTCTGTGTTACATTTATATGCTAAACGTTTTGGTGGTGCGGGTGGTACCATAGTATTCATATTTGAATCTCTTTTGTCGGGAGCTAAAATGTGAAAATTTCAATTAATAATTGTTACACACAACACAAAAAAAAATAAAAATACAAAAATATTTATATATATTTCAATAAATTTTTGGAATTAAATAATTGAATTACACGTAAATCGTGGACCAATTACGAATTTACCCAGATAACGTGTCAAATTAAAACATTCTTATTATATTATACAGTTGTACACTCGTCAAACAAGATTTTCAACATTCGTATTATAAATAATTTTAATAAATATCTGTATTGTTCATCAATTTAAAATAATACTTATTAATATAATGCCATCATAAGAACAATGCAGGTCGAATCTTATGCATTTACTTTCTCTAAATAAAACTTACTGCAACCTCTTGGTGGCAAAGGTGGAGCTGGTTCGGGACCAGGTTCACTCCATGAAGTTCTTAAACCGGTCTGATCCACGCCATCGGTTGGCGTTGGCAAAGAATGTCTCAATGGTAATTTTGGGCTTAACGGCTTGCTCAAAGATCTTTGATGCGTAGGTCGAGGTGGAGTTGTGCCATAACCCACGGAACGTGGTCGTACTTCTCGTTGTGGAATAGGAGGCGGTCCACCATCTACCTTTGTGTAAAAACCTTCGTCTTCGGGTAAACCATCGCTATCTGCATGCGAAGTTCGACACCCAGCCGTTTCCAACGTAACTGGTCGTTGCTTCTCGTTAACAGGTAACGGAGGTAACGGTGAGCTATACAAGAATTGAACATAAATAAGAGAGTTCACGATTTGCTTGCAAGAAAAAAGGAAACCAAGAGTTACTTGACAATGCTATCCTGATGAATCGTTCGTTGCCTGGCCAAAGGACCAAGATTTTGTTTTAACTGCGTAAATCTCTCGTGCAGTCTTTTGTGTAGCGGTTGCACACCCGCTGGCGCGATTTGCCCGTGTAAATTTAATCCAGCTTCCAAAACGCTCATCTGATCAAGAATCAAACCTTTCAATCTATTCACGTGCGGCACCATCTCCGGATTTTGTCTAGCGAATTCAGGGGTAAGAAAGGCTTCTTGATACTTGGTAATGCCACCCATTACGTTGGCATCGATGATGCCTTGAAGACGCATACTAAACGGATTAATATTTCGATGAGGTTCGGCAGTGTATTGTGCGACAAGTCTCGTCAATTCTTTCTCTACGCTCAGCATGGTTTCGCAAGCATATTGTACAGGCGCCAACAATTCAGACCTCTTCTCGATCACCTCGAACCATCTAAGTATACCAGGCAATTTTGCCTCGGTAGTCAGCGTGGTTCTTTCGATCCACAGTGATTTAAACTCGTTCTCTCGATCGACCGGCCCCCTATGAAGCGGTCGATCGAAAATGAATTTTCGGACATCGTTCACTAGATAGAACGCGACCACTCGTTCTGGTACTTCCGCCCCTCGACAGGCCAGGCTACTTTCTTCAGGGATTGGTTTCACGTTGCAAATTTGTATATCTGTAAATCGTTATATATGAAGATTTACGACACGATTAACATCGAATCAAGAAAAAAAAATCAACTTACATTGCCCCTCGGAACTTAGAATACTCTCGTCAGGCGGGGAGTTTTTCATTAATATTTGTGCGCTTGGAAATTCAGTCTGCAATCGTTGCGTGAACGCCCCTATTCTCTCGTACTCTAGACCGCGGTATATGAACAGCTTATTCTGCAAGATTATAGTGAACATTACATTTTTATCATTTTTATCATATAAATTGTGCTTTATGAATGGTACTTACTCTAACGAAAAGTGGAAAACTCAGACCGTAGAAGCCTACTCTAAAGTATTCTGGCTCCGGTCGAAGTTGCGTCAATATATTGTCGAGGAATTTGGCTTGCAATTTCAGTACGTGACTCAGTTTCGCGTAATCGTATAATCTAGTTTCGTATAGTATCGCCAATTCCTTGCACAATGGGATACCTTTTTCCCAACACTTGCCTCGATCTAAGTAATGAATTATTTTGTGATAAAGGACCTCTTTTCTCTGCCATTCCGGTTGTTGAGGATGCGAATGATCCGGGGGCAGAATCGTGGAACTCCAGCCAAGCTGGTCGGCGTATAGCTTCATTGTAAATCCGGCTTCGGTGTAATTTTCTGCTGCTAAATGCAGGTCGTGAAGCTTGTAAATATAGCGCAAATACATCTCCTTTCGGTTAAATTCGTTCTTGTAAAAATTCTGCGAGAGAGATTTAATTATTATTGATAAAGATTTTAATATGAAGATAGAAATGTATTTTATGATATATTTTGGATTAATCGATATTTTTTATACTTACCAATAAATTAACGGTACACGACATACGTTTATCGCGATTTTCGTCGCCTTGAATTACGCTTCTATAATCTAACAGTCTTTCCAATAAACGCGTAATTGACGTAATGAAAGCAGTTCCGCTGTCCTTCCAGGCTGGATCCTCTGACTGAACTCTGTCTAACAATCTGTCGGCAAAAATAGAACAATATATTTGAACTTCTATTCGTGTTGAGATGTTATATGAGGATTTCTCACTATCAATTTATTGCACTTACACAGCGCTAAGATGCTCCCTAATGCAGCATACAAATTAAAATTTTCAATGAAATGCAATTCAAATTATTGGTGCTATATAACTAGCTACTATCGAGTTGGTGGAAAAATAATGTCAATTTTATAAATGCAAAAACAATTAATTATAATCCATGTCTCAGTTTTGAAAATATAGTTTTAAACATTGTATAAATTTGTCATGTATTTTATTGATAATTCTTTTGTATTTATGAATTTGATTTAATTGTATATTACACTTATTTATTACAAATATAATAATTAAGAAACCAAAAATAATTTTTCCACCAACTTAATTAAATTGAATTCAAAATTCGAATTCTTTCGTGAGAAGTATTAAAAAAAAACTAAATTAATACTCACATCGTGTTGAACAATTGCCTGTACTCGTCGTCACCTTTGTTCTCACTGATCAAGATATCCAGTTTGTCTATTAATTCCGATTCCACGGATCTGAAGCTACCACGAGCTCGCTGTTCACATTCCATCATGTCAAAAAATATATGCAAAGTGGCTTTCCTTAGTTCGCTTTCAGGGACCAAAGTGACTTCCAAGAAAGGACCCACCATACCAGGAATGAACTCTAACTTATGATCATGCAAATTGGACCACATGGACAATATTTGAAAGCCCATCAACACTCTCATATCTCCGTACTTTTCAATGATCTTTTCACGTTTTACCTCGGAAAATTGTTCAAGTTGCAGAGACGGCTGCGTGAGATAGGCTACGGCTAGGTTAAAGTACGTGGACCAGAGTTGGGCATCGAAGCAATCGTCTACAAAACGAAAGGCTAGAGGTTGAGCAAGCTCTTTCAAAGATTTTAGGATAACATTGTTCGCTTGCATCCTGATCACCAGCCAATCAGGCGGGAACACCTCTTGCCTAACGAGATCACGGAGAACCAGAAAAACTCTAAGAAGGAAATCCTTCAGAGGTTTCCTTTCACCAGCGTGAGCCAACTCCTCCCAAAGTCGAACATAGTGATACTCGTCTAAAAGTTGTAGCAATCCTATCAAGCAAGCCACCAGACAGCCCAACACGGGGCCGCTGCTATTTATGACGATCAGGATGGTCTGTATCAATACATCCAGAACGGAAAGACACAATGTTTCAACATCGTGTTGGATACAATTGTTGACCTTGTTCGAATCTTGCCCCCTTTTGTACAAAAAGCTGAGGATTTCTCCAAGGATCTCAGTGCAGGAGCGGAGCTCCTCCCGTCTGACCAAATGAA